CCTTCAAAGTACCAAGAGCATTCAATGTTTTGTCTCATTGAATTCTCACGAAAACAGTAAAAAATATTTTTCGAGTGCCTACAATGTAGTGAGATAGCATAGTGTCACAGCCAACAGAATGGATTTTAAAGCCACATCAAGGCCAGGTATGGTGGCTTATGCCTGTAATCTGAGTATTTTGGGAGGCCATGGTGGGCAGATAACTTGAGATCAGGACTTCAAAACCAGCCTGGCCAACATGGCAAAACCCTGTCTCTACTAAAAATACAAAAATTAGCCTGGCATGGTGGCGCATGCCTATAATCCCAGCTACTAGAGAGACTGAGGCAGAAGAATCGCTTGAACCCGGGAGACAGAGGTTGCAGTGAGCCAAGATCGTGCCACTACATGCCAGCATAGGCGACAGAGCAAGACTGTCTCAAAAAAGAAAAAAATAAAAGCCACATCATCTCAGCTTGGATCTGGGCTCTACTGCTTACCAGCTGTATGACTCTGGGTAAGTAACTTACCATTGCTGAGCCTCAATTTTCTCCACTGCAAAATGGGAAAACAGTAACTGGCTCATGGGGTTAACAGTGGAAAATACTTGAACAATGCCTGGCTCCATGCATTTGCCATTTTGATTACTACATGCAATGAGGCCAGCTTATGGGACAGTGTTATTTCCATTTTACAAATAAGGACAGGAAAGCTTCGTGAAGTCATGTAACTTGTCATGGGACACACAGCTGGTGCAGGGCAGAGCCTGATGTGAAGGACAGGTGGATGCAGCTCCTGAGCTTTCTATGGCCCACCAAAGCCAGAGCATATGTCTACCACTGAGATTTGGTCACTCAAAAGAGTATGCAGGCAAGCGCACAGTAAGAGATCTACAGGCATCTGATCAGCACGTGTTATGGAAAATCTAGGTCCTTCAAACCATAAACCATGTGAAATGCAGGATGGTTGAGGAAGGAGGCTGGAGGGTAGTGTGGGTCAGGCCTTCTTTGGGCTGCAGCCGGAACCTGGAGGTAAGGAGAGGCTCCTAGGAGAACAAAGGATTAGTCACAGGAAATGGTGTTGGGAGGAGGAGGTGGAAAGCAAAGAAAAGGAACTGTGTGAAAGCAAGGAGCTGGTTACCTAGGACAGCTCAAAAATGAAGCAGCAAGGATTTCTAGAGATTTTTGGAGATGTCATATCTGAAAGGTAGAGCCAGAGATGAGACCTTGAGCGAGAGTCAAAGGGGGTGAGTCCAGAGCTGTAGGGGTGGGCCACCGGGAGCTCCGGGAGTGGGAAGCAGCAGCAGACCTCAGATCCTTTGAAGCCTCTACTTCCTTTCATACTTTTCCTTTCATCTGCAGAGTAAACGGAGGGCCACAGAAGGATTCAATCAAAAGTGGAAAGAATTCATGTCTGGGGACCCCACTCCCGGGGAGGAAGCATTGAGCAGTGGCTGGAGGAAGCAGGGGACAGTACTGGGACCCACCGAGCCCTCCCCTTCTGCCCCTCTACCCCTCTCACACCAGAGAGAGCTAACAAGGAAGAGAATAAGACAATTACCCAATTAAATTCGATTTTTAAGCTGCCATTATCTGTACAGTTCAGGGAGCACTGAATCATCTGGAAAATAATCTCAGCTCTCCACTTATTTTCACTAGATTGCTTAGCCATAGAAATCTTGGAAAACCTTTCATTCAAAGTCTGAGGTCCTTTCCTTTCTCCAAACCCCACAACCCAAGCTGTGTTTCCCTGGCCTCTCTCAGACCTGGGTACCAAATTTTGGGTATTCGTAAACTAGCAGAAGGGAAAAATTGATTTGGCTCAGGAGAATGAAAATCTGTCTGCATTCATGCTCATTGAAGGAAAGGCTAATGAACAAAACGTGATCGATTGTAGAAAGATTCTCATTCCACATTTCACATCGTTTGCTTTACAGAATTTTCCAACTCAAGAAATAATTTAATTTTTATTTTCAACAAAGATTTAGTTATAAAATAAATATAAATTCCATGTGCATTCATGCTGTATACCTTGGAGTTAAGTGGGATTCCTCTGTTGGGTTTTTGATTATTTATTATGAGATGCAATGGCTTAAAAATCTTATCACCAAGCCAAATTCAGCCCTTGGCATGCCTCTGAAACCACCGAAGACGACTTAGCTACTTACCAAGAACAGGGTAACCTGTGTTGTCCAGGGTGCAAACCGGGTCCCTGGGAAGGGAAAAGGGGAAGAGGGCAGGAGAGGACCTCCAGTATCAGCGAGGACTATCTGGACGTCCTGCTAATAAACGACTTTTTCACTGTCCACACTTTAATTGGTTTACAGCCTTTTTTGTTTATTTATCCATAAGAGCTGCTGTTAAATGGCTCGGGAAGGCGCTTGCCTAATGGCTCGGTATCGCTGCCGGGCCTGTTGTGGGCGAGGCGGCTTGGAGGGGACGCAGGCGTCAGCGGGGATTCAGAGCGGAAACGCATTTCGCCTGTAATGGACTCGGCGATTTTACGATACCGGGAGCTAAACCCACAGGGAAATACAACACACTTTCTTACTCAGCGGAGGGTTCCGCGGGATGCGTTTTTATTCGGCTGTAGGTGGTAGTCAATCAAAAATTCCCGATAACTTTGTCTCATCTAACAATAATAACAACAATAATAACAATACTACTACTAATAAATGGCTGTTTGACCTTTGCTTCCTGGGTCCCTTCATTAGGTCTCAGGCAGCAGAAAATGCTAATTGTGAAACTGAGAACCCGCCTCCGTGAACACCCCTGGCGCTCCCTGCCTCCTTCCCCACAGCCGGGGTGGGGAGGGTACCCGGGTTTTTGCCTGTGACCGCAGTGGGCAGATTTGCTTTCTGCTGAGAGCCTCTTTTCTTTCTGCAGGGCCGAGCAAAAATATTAAATGGGAGCAAATGAAGCATAGAAATGGAGACCAATTTACAGAAATGTGCAATTAGTTGAGAAGTGCAAAGTAAACACTCCGGGGGTGGCGGGCGAGGCGGGGAGCAGGGGAGGGAGAGTCGGGCGCAGGCTGAGTCCAGAGTGGGTGTGGGGTGCTCAGGGAGGAGGGGGAGGGGAAGGAAGAGGACGGGGAGGGAAAAAGTGGCCGATCTTTGTCCTGAGAGGAGCTCGCCCTCCGCTCATAACCACGTCGCCAAGTCAACCCGCGACGACTTGGCAGATTATCTCCAAGGGTCAACACGCCGCGACCCGGCAACCCCTCCACCCTTCCCTCCTGATCGATGTGGTCACTCGCGGCCAGGGTGATAGCGTAGAGTCCTCCGCGGCCGCAGACAATGGACTCATTGACGCGGGCGCGCAGAGATTAGATGCGCGGGCCCCACTGCCTTTCACTCTCTGCCCCCACCAGGACCGCAGGTGGCACTTTCCCCTGAAGAAATCACCGAAACTCTCCCCGACCTCCGAAGCGCTTCTTTTGGCCTGTCTTCAGTGACAGCCAGGGTATCTACAAGCCAGGGAGCCACACATTGGAGCCACACACAGGAGGCCACAGGCCAGGAAGCCACACACATGAGTTCTTAAACATTGGAGCAAATGCTGAGAGGACACCAGCCTCCCACGAGAGAAGGAATCTGCAGAGAATCTTCCCGACTGGCTTTTTGTCTTTTAATGAAAATAAAGAGTACTCAGAATAGCGCACTCAATCCACACTTAAAACACAAATATTTCCAGTAGGAAGAAATACATTAAAATCGATTCTCAAATGTCTGGATGTGGGTGAGTTGTTTAGGGAAGGCGGGTTGCAGTGATTTTTCTCTGGCTTAATTATTTGAGGTTCACGCTCTGTTTTGCTGAGACGTTTCTGTAAAGGTGTCTAGTTTCTCTTAAAACCTCAGTGGCGTTTCGAGAACGTCCTCATTTCTGGGGGACCCAATCAGAGGCTGGTCCGGCCGCCAGGCCTAGCCGGTCATGCCTAGGCTGGGGGTTGGACGCCACTGCCACCCGGAGGTCATCCATCCGCGCCAGCAGATGCAGAAAAAGTGGTCCTGTTTAAGTCAGGACCCCGGAATGCCTAGAAGTTACAGAATGGGTTGAAGCCAAGCACAGACGTTATCATGGAAAATTCAGTGTTTTTATTTTTTTCTGAATAGGCAACTCCTCCTCCAATTCCCCCTCTCGCGCTTGCCTTATTTCAATTGCCAGCAGAAGAGAGTGGGTGTTCTCCACCGGCAAACTCCGCCAGGGTCCTGGCCCAGTAGTCATCAAGGGTCTGGAACCCCCGTGCCAACACCTGCCCAGTCTCGCAGCCCCAAAAGGGAGACCGCGTCTTTCCCCCTCACTGTATTGGGAAGCTACGTTCTGAGTTGGCCAAATGGGCCCCAATTTTCCAAAACCAACATTTGTAATACCCTTCCATTAAAAAAAAAAAAAAAAAAAAAGACTTTAAAAAGTCTCTGCGAATGCTCTAGAAGTTACCGTTTACACCCCAGAAGTACTTGCAGCACATCCACCAGTAAAATACGCAGCGAATGCCAGGGTCTTGTGTACTTTTTAACCGACATCTTGGTGGCTGTGAATAAACTTCATAAAATAGAATAAAATGCTTCCTACCTAGAGAGCTGGATCTGCAAACCTTTTTTTGTAATCGTATTCCCCAACAGTTAAAAAAATTAAAAGCTCAACATGTCTCCTCATAAATTCTATCAATTTAAAAAAACACTATTCCCATTATCAAAAATAATAGAAAAATACAGGAAAACAGAAAATAGGAAAATAGAAACGGTTTAGCCACAGTGAAAATGTTTCTATAAATGAGTGGTTCTAATGTTTTCGTGAGCACCCACTTTGGAGAGCACCACCAGCTGCCGGTTCAGGGGTGTGCAGCAAACTCAGATGAGAGAGAATTGGAACGAATGCAGGTGCTCGCAGGTACTTGGGCCGTGCCTCTTAGGGCGGTCAGCCAGGCCAATCGCGGCCCCCGGCTGAGCCACGTGGGGCCCCGCAGAGCCAATGGCGCGGCGGCGGCTCGCAGGTCCCCTCAGGCTGTGGGTTCCCTCTGAGATCAGTGCCGAGCTGTCAAAGCGAGCAGGGGTGGCTCCGCGAGTGGGAACGCCGCACAGGTGCCAAGTCCCCAGCTCCAGCTCCCGACTCCCAGCTCCCTGCGCCCAAGCCCGGGCCACAGCCATGAACGGCGAGGAGCAGTACTACGCGGCCACGCAGCTTTACAAGGACCCGTGCGCATTCCAGCGGGGCACAGCGCCGGAGTTCAGCGCCAGCCCCCCTGCGTGCCTGTACATGGGCCGCCAGCCGCCGCTGCCGCCGCCGCCGTTCCCCGGCGCCCTGGGAGCGCTAGAGCAAGGCAGCCCCCCGGACATCTCCCCGTATGAGGTGCCCCCGCTCGCCGACGACCCCGCGGTGGCGCACCTCCACCATCACCTCCCGGCTCAGCTTGCGCTCCCCCACCCGCCCGCCGGGCCCTTCCAGGAAGGAGCGGAGCCGGGCGCCCTGGAGGAGCCCAGCCGCGTCCAGCTGCCTTTCCCATGGATGAAGTCTACCAAAGCTCACTCGTGGAAAGGCCAGTGGGCAGGTAAGCCTGGCTCCCCACCCCTTTCTCCTTTCCGGTTCTCACCCGGGCGCCCCTACCTTCAAGCGCTCCCAGGAGCCTTCTCTCTGTTCCCAGCACCTTGGATTATCCAGGGTCGGACTAAACTACATCAGGGAGCCAACGAGACCATCCTGCACAGCAGCGCTTCTCTGGTCCAGTTTGAAGCATCTTTCCCACCCAGCTCTCTTGGGAGGGTAAACTGCTTCCTTCCCTTTAAGCTGAGCCCATCTTCGCCCCAGGAGCCCGCGCTCTCCCAGCGCCGTCCCTAAAGAACCGAGGCTGAGTCCTGCTTGGGCCTTCGGACCCTCCAGATCCTCCTCGACCAAAGGATCCGGGAACCCAGGACTCCTCGGTAGCCCACGTCGAGGAAACTGAATAGGGACAAGGGTGCCTCTGACCCAGGGCCCAGATTGCCTTCGGAGCCGGGGGTCCCCTCGCGCTTGGTTAAGGAAGGGCAGGCATCTAGGAGCTCCAGGTGCAGAAAGGCAGGGAAAGAAAGGAAACTGCACCCAACCCCGCAGTGTCCGGCGGCCCCGGTTGGGGAAACAGAATACGAGTAAAGAGGAAGGGGCTAGGGCAAGGCGGAGGCTCACCGCGAGGCTGAAGGCCGGTCGCTCAACGTCAGAGCCCGGCAGCTAGGAAAGGAATCTGCGAAGCGAATTCGGTTTTCACCAACCGAAAGCATTTGAGCTGTCTCCCCGCCCTGCTTCCCAGGAAGTAATCTTGCAGAAGGAGATGGGCCTTCCCTGCCCAGCCAGCGGGGAGGCAAGAGCCCTGGTTCCTGCAGCCCTCGGCGCCATCCGGGAACAGGTCTTTCCCTGAGCTGGGAGCCGGAGACGCGGAGCCCCCGGGTTCTTCGCGGCCCCGTGCGGGCGCTGAGTTCCGGCGCGGCTCGTGTCGTCGCCGCTACACACTGTCATCGCTGCCGAGCCGCAGCCACTTCCAGTCACACCTGCACCGCAAATAGTTGCCTATTCCTTTCAACTGACAGCGGGGAGCACGGGGAAACAGCTCCAGCCGGCGTCCCCCGGCCCACCGCGAGAATCCTTGGCGCCCGTCTTCGGAGTCTGGCCAGCCCTGCCGGACACTGACCCCAGGCGCAGCCAGGCAGAGCTTCGTGCAGGAGAGCGAGGAGGACCCCAGCTCTCCCGGGATCCCCGGGACTCCCCTCTTGCTAGTTCCCTTGCTCGCTAAGGCGAAGGTCCTGAGGCAGGAGAGGTGCTGAACTCCGAGGCAATCGTCCCCACCTCCAGCTAAACCCAGTTGACCTGGGCGCCAGAAGCTGCAGTGGCGCCTCTGCGAACTTATCCCGCTCGCGCCGAAGTCTCCGGAAATGCGGGGTTCTTAGGAGGCGGGAGGGCATTCCCTCCTACAAAGGTGGGGGGCTCCCAGTCCCCACCCAGTTTCCTTCCAGGGCTGCCTCCCCTCCAGGCCTCTCTTCTGGCCTCCTGGGCCCTCGGAGCTCCTGCTCTCCTGGCCTGGGCCTTCCTCAGGAAAAGGGCCACAGCGGGGCCGCAAAAGAGGATTTGTGAGGGGGAGTAACTTCCCTTTCCCAATCCAAGCTGTGAGACGTCTGCTCTGGAGGCCTTGGGCTTAGGCTGACGCAAGAAGCCAGGAAGCAAAATCTGAAGGCAAATCAGCCTTGGTCAGGGTTCGGGGGACCAAAGAGGGCGACACTCGGGCTAAGAGTTGGCCCCAGGCCTTTGCTGCTACCCTCTAATCGGCTTTATGTTCGGCCTTCGGGGAAGGAGCCGACCTCCCCTCTCTTCCCCTGCTAGCGGCCTGCGGGGCCGGCTGCTGTCCCCGCCTTCCTCTAGGGGAAACTTTCCAAGGAGCCGAAATTCAAAAATTGCACACCCACCTTGCCCTGGGAAGAGCAAAGTGACCAAAGGGCTCTCACTGGCAGTGGGAATGTAAACGCTAACGACAACAGAGGTTTTGGAAAACCTTGACCCCCACCTGCTTCTGCGGCGCTGGCCAGCTGGCACCTAAACCGCCTCACCCTGCGCCCTTGACTTCTTCCCACCATTCTCCACCTCCACCCCTGCCTCTTGGTGCTAGGCACAGTCCCCCCCCCCCCCCCAGAATAGTGCACCCCAGGCAGTCACTCCCGGAGCAGTCACTCTCGGAGCAGTCTCTCCCTGAGACTCCAGGAAACCCGCAGCCCAAGGCAGGAACCCAAAGGCGATGTGGGTTTAATGTAAGAACTTTAGAGAGACTTTCAAAATGTTTCCTGAAAGCCAGTCTCGCTTCTCTCCCAGGCCTGGGATGTCAGGTAGACTCGGGGATGCCCGGAGGGACCAGGACTCTCCCCGGACTAGGGTCTGAGCCTTGTCTTCAGCTTCTGGAGCCTCTTCTCAACCTGGGGGAAACCCGGGAGGGTTCCCTCACAGAATTAACTCTGCCCCCCAACACACACACACACACACACACACACACACGCCTTTCAATTCCTTAAAACTTAGCCAACATTCACAGGAGTAATGTCCCCTGCCTTTGCTCTAAAACAATCCTCTCCCCAGAGCTTTGGTGGAACTTCCTGCGCCAGGGTCCACAGTCCGGGTTCAGTCATTATTTTGCACAGAAAGGAAAAGATTGGGACCTAGCTGAGCGCAGCGGCAAACACTGAGTGTGGATCTCCAAACTCCTCGGCCCGGGCATCCTGTTGCACCTTGGAGACGGGGGAGGTTGGTTTCTGCACTACCACCCCCTCCTCCATCAGGTTCTCGGTTCTGCAGCTGGGCCACAGCCCCTGTGTCTCCCCTCAACACCTCTGAGGGCATTTGGGACCCAGGGCATAGAGTCTGGAGCTGCCAGAGTTCTACTCTGGCCAGTGACCCCCAGAACAATATCCCTTCTCCTCTCGGGCAGAAGACCGGCTGAATTTTACTTCTCCATAATTAGAACAATTATGGAGAATTTGCTGACTCTGAGGTTGGAACTAATTACGATATAACTATAGAGAGAGGAAATACATGGTCAGATATAACAAAATATGTAACAGCCTATATTAGCACAAAATTTTCAAACTGTAGGTCGCACCCTTTCGCAGGTCATAAAATCAACTTACTAGGTTGAGGTCAGCATTTTTTAACGAAATATGAGATATTGGGGAAAACGTGGATAGCATCATAGGTGGTAAAAGTTTGTTTTATGTCCTTAAGATTTGTCAGTATAACTGACCTACAATGTCCGTGTGTGAACTCCACATGATCTAAAATGTATTTCTTACTGTGGGTCACCGTGAGGAGGATGTTTAAAGTCCTGAATTAAAGGCGTTTTATTGCCTTTGCAGGATCCAGCCGGTTTAAACATCTATCACATGTATTTAAATTAACATCAATCAGTTCATTAACACCGATTACACGAGCACATTCAAGGACCACCACTCATTGGCAGAACCAAGCTTAGGCTCAAGGCGGGAGGCGACTCAGTTTTGGCTGGGGCAGCGTGGTGAAACTCCGTCTCTACTAAAATTACAAAGAAATTAGCCAGGCCTGGTGGTGAGCGTCTGTAATCTCAGCTACTCGGGAGGCTGAGGCAGGAGAGTCCCTTGAACCCAGGAGGCGGAGGCTGCAGTGAGCCGAGATCGTGCCTGGGCAAAGGAGGAAGACTGTCTCAAAAACAAACAAAAAAGGCTCCCTTCACTAAGGAAGGGTTTCGCCGCCTACACTAGTCGCTGAAATAAGATGCTGGGGCTTGGTGGCTCTGGCGGGAGCAACTGGTAGGGCTAGGGCTCCCTGACCCCCCTCGAAGGGATTGTGCTGCGTGGGTGGGGGCTGTGCAGGGCTCCGGGGGCCACACTCACTCTCTGTGTCACCCGCAGGCGGCGCCTACGCGGCAGAGCCAGAGGAGAACAAGCGGACCCGCACCGCCTACACGCGCGCACAGCTGCTGGAGCTGGAGAAGGAGTTCCTATTCAACAAGTACATCTCACGGCCGCGCCGGGTGGAGCTGGCCGTAATGCTGAACTTGACCGAGAGACACATCAAGATCTGGTTCCAAAACCGCCGCATGAAGTGGAAAAAGGAGGAGGACAAGAAACGCGGCGGCGGGACAGCTGTCGGGGGCAGCGGGGTTGCGGAGCCTGAGCAGGACTGCGCCGTGACCTCCGGCGAGGAGCTGCTGGCGCTGCCGCCGCCGCCGCCGCCCGGAGGTGCCGTGCCGCCCGCTGCCCCCGCTGCCGCCCGAGAGGGCCGCCTGCCGCCTGGCCTTAGCGCGTCGCCACAGCCCTCCAGCGTCGCGCCTCGGCGGCCGCAGGAACCACGGTGAGAGGCAGGGGCTGCTCCTGGCTGGGCAGGTTCAACCACTCGCCGAGGAGGAGCAGAAGGCCTAAAAGGACCCCGGGCGTGGACCACCAGCCCTGGCAGTTGAAGGGGGCAGCAATTGCGGGGCCCAGCTTTGACCGAAGGGGAAAACCCGCTCTCCCAGGGGCATGTGCCAATTGGGGCCCGGCAGGTAGATGCTGGCAGATCTTCCGGAAGAAAAAGAGCCATTGGTTTCTGTAGTGTTGGGGCTCTCTTTTAGTGATACTGGATTGGCGTTGTTTGTGGCTCTCGCGCACCTCCTGCCCGCCTCTAGAGAAGCCGACTCTTCAAAGAAGATGGAAACTGTACTGTACACAAGGGAAAACTACCCAACCCACAGCTGGGGAGCTGCACCGAGTGCCTTAGTCTGCTCATAAACAAGGCCATTCTTACTCCGGCGACCACTTTAAGTTTAGAAATAATTGAAAGAAAATGTTTGAGTTTTCAAAAATCCCGTGAAATTGATGCCAGTGGAATACAATGAGCCCTCCTCTTTCTCCTCTTCCTCTTCATCTTCCCTCTCCTCTTCCTCCTGCTTCTTCTCTTACTCTTTTCCTTCCTCCTTCTCTTCCTCCTGCCCTACTTTCCGCTCCTCCTCCTCCTCTTCTTCTTGCTCCTCCTCTTCCTCCTTCTCCTCTTCTTCTCCCTCCTCTTCCTCCTCCTCTTCCTCCTGCTCTCCTTTTCTCCCCCTCCTCTTCCTCTTGTTCCTTCCTCCCCCTCCTCTTCCTTCCTTCCTCCTCCTCCTCTTCCTCTTCTCCTTCTCCTTCCTCTTCCCCTTCCTCCTCCTTCTTCCTGATCTTTCTTCCTCTTCCTTCTTCCTCCTCCTCCTCTTCCTCTTCTTATCCCTTCTGGTCCTTTCTTTTCTCCTCTAGCTGCACACTTCACTACTGCATATCTTTTAACTTGAACGCCTTTCTTCTGAGGAAGAGAACATCTTGCAAGGCAGAGCGAGTAGCGGCAGGGCTGGCTTAGGAGCGGTGCAAGAGCCCCTGTGCCCCAGTTAATCCCACGCTGCCGTCAGGGAAAGTAAGGGGAGACAGGCCTAGATCTGGGGGTGAAGGAGAAAGATGAACCCCTGGGTGACCACTAAACCAAAAATATTTGGAACTTTCTATTTAGGATGTGGATGTAATTCCTGTTCGGAGGTAGAGGCTGTTCTGAAGGCAAGCACAGTGGCCTAGTGCGCCTTGGAAACAAACAACTATTCACAAGCCAGTATGATTTTCACATCTTCAGGAATTATGAAGACGTATCTGATTGGAGTGTTTGGAAAACCGTTATCTTATTTAACGTTTTAAAATTACCTAACAGTTCTTTACAAACAGATCTGTGCATTCCAGGCCTTGTGTTCAGGTTATGTTTGTGGGAAAGGCTTAATAAATACGCATAATACGGGAAGCGATAAAAACTGATTCTCCTCGCTTTTATTCAAACCTTTCTGGCAGTGGGATGATTCAAATTCACTTTAAAAAATTAAATCCGCGTTTTTGTCTTTTTCTTTTTTTTTTTTTTTTTTTAATTTTATGGGGTTTTTGTTGGTGGTGGTTTTGGTTTTTGTTTGTTTATTTTTTTGAGACAGGGCTCATCCTGTCGCCCAGGCTGAAGTGCAGTGGAGGGATCTCGGCTCAGTGCAACATCCCTGGTTCAAGCGATTCTCCTGCCTCAGCCTCCTGAGTAGCTGGGAGTACAGGCTCACACCACCACGCGTGGCTACTCTTAGTATTTTTAGTAGAGACGGGGTTTCTACCATGTTGGTCAGGCCGGTCAGCGTCTATTTTTTTCCGATACTAATCGGAGAAAACCAGGTAATTAAGAAATATTGCACTTGGGTTTCGAGTTGAAGCACCCTGTGAGGGGATGAATTGTCGGTTTTATTTTTAAGAATATCTTCTCACGATGACTTTTTCAGACAATATAGCCTAGAGCGTGGGAGACAGTTCGGAGAACCGCGGGCCAGCACTGCATTCCCCCCAGAGCCAAGCAGCGCCCACCAGGCACCGCAGTGCTGCAGGTGGCAAGACGCGCCGCTGGCTCCCACCGTGGCCCGGTTCCCTCTTTCCTCACAAAGCTGAGAACGCAGGCGAAGCCGTTTTCCGTGACCCTTCCAAAAGAAGCATTGCTTTAGATGAATCTTCGCCCCCGGAGACCGAGGTCAGGAATGTCTTATGTTAGAGGCAAAGATGCCCGGATTTAGAGGGCTTTCAACCCCTAGGACAACCTGCTCTTTCTGCAGGAAGCTCTCAGCTGCTCATCTTAGGCCGGCGGTGCACCCGGCAGCCCTCCCCAGCGCTCCCTGGGTTCAGAACAAGTTCCTCACTCCCAGGAGTCGCCGCTTTTCGTTTTCTTTTTGCAAAGATTGTTGCTGTTTTGTTTTGTTTTATTGGAGAGAGAAACCGAGTCCCTCGGAATAAAGTCCCCTGGATCAGAAAGGGGAACTTGCACATCCGTGACAGTGCTCTTGCCCTGCGGTTCTCCACACCCGCCTGGGCTCTGGGGTGTGGGAAATCTGCGATCGCGTCCCTGGTCCCTCAAAAACTGGCCCAGTTCGCAGTCTTGATAAAATGATTCGAGCTCTCAATGACTCAGTTTCCTCATCCAGGAAGTGGAGGCAAATACTGCTTCCTGGAGTTACTGTGAAGTTTAAACAAACAAACAAAAAATACATGTAAAATGCTAATTCAGTATTTAGGAATCCCTCCACAAATAGTAGCTATTGTTTTATGGCTGTAATCGTCGTCGTGGCCAGAAGCAATCAGGAGCTGCTGCTGTGGACTTTCTAAGGTCCCCCACCTGTCCCCCGGCAGCCTCTCTCCTCTGGCAAATCCCCACACTGTCGCTGTTGACCGGAGTCTTATTCCTCTACTCACTGACTTTGCTGAACACTGCCTAGTTTCAGGATACCTTTCCTTCTAAACTCCTTAGGTTTTCTGCAACAGCCTTCACCAGGCAAGGAACTGAAGCTCCGCTGCCCGGTTAGTTGGTGGAGGCGCAGAAACCTGTCCTCGGGCCCCAAGCAGAAGCCGCAGTCCTCTCCGAGGCTCCGGCCTCGATCTCGCTCTGCACGCTGGGCGGGCCGCTGCTTCTCCGCGAGGCCCGAGGGTTCGCCAAGGAGAGTAGAAGAGGCGGTGACTGCCCTGGACTGGTCTTTGGGCAGCCAAGGGCGCCGGGGGCTGCCCCAGGTCTAGGCCCGGGATCGGAGCTTTGCTTGAAAGTTCTCTGGGTGGTGGAGACTTGGGCAACCAGAGTCTGTCCCTCCTGCGGAGAAAAGAGCTCGGATGCCGGAGGTCGCGCGGCTCTGGGCTTGGATTCAGTCCTTCCTTACTGCTCAGGGTTTTGCTTCCATCGTTTAACTCTCCATTTCCTTGTCCGTAGAGTGGGCTCATAAGGAGGCGGTAAGGAGATGATGATGTCTTTGAAGAGGTTAGGACAGAGCCTGACATAGTCTCCCTTACGCGTGGTGGGGGTGGCAGACGTGATGGACTGTTGGTGCCAGGAGACATCGGCCTTCCTGCTAGGCCCAGGGAGGCAGCGGAGAGCGAAGTCTTGCAGGGCTGAGGGACCTCGAGGAGAGTACGGGAGAGGAATGAATGCAGCCGTGAGCTGCCCTCTGGGCTCCACCCCAGCCTCGGAGGAGGGGCGGAGGGCTCCGTCCCGACCCCTCCGCGGCTGGACCGAGACCTACTGGATCAGACCCCGTAGGGAGACTCGCGTGGGGCCCAAAGTGTGTAGTTCAAACTCTGAGCGGCCACCCTTAGCCAACTGGCCAGATGCGAATTGTGGGCCCTGAGGGGCGGGGTCGCTCGGCCCTGCACGCCTGTGCACCTGCGGGGCTCTCCAGAGTGAGGGGGTCGTGAAGAGAGCTCCATGGAAGCAGGGAAAAAACAAACAAACAAACAGGCAGTTGGGCCTCAGGTCAGACTTTTCTGCAAAGGAACGTTCTGATCCCAGAACTCTAGGATTGACCCCAGTACCTGACTTCTCTGAGGACTGCCAGCCTCCCTATGTTCTTCGGGCTTGGCGCGCTCCTTTCATGATGAACAGATACCAGTGGCCTTCAAAAGGTCTGGGGTCGGGGTACAGAGGAAGTGGCCTTGGGTGCAGAGGAAGAGCGGAGCTCCTGCCAATGCTGCACGCAGTACCCTGCACAAGTGCGCGCCGGCTCCGTATGTGCGCTCCAGAGCCCCCAAGACAGCCCGGCCCTACTCATCCCGAGGAGAAATCCGAGAGCTCAGCTACCTGCACCTCCATGCCCCAGAGACCCTCCGAGCCCCAGAGACCCTTCGTGCTGGAGCCACAAGCCCTCCATTCCTCTTGGAATCTTCGACCCCAAGGTAAGGTAAATTCACCCAGCGCTGCGCAGCGATGCGCGCGATCCTGGCGCGGATCAAGCGTTGAGACCCAACCGAGCGCTCGGTGCGCGCCCCCAACTCTCAGATCGCTTTCCTGTAAAAGCTGCTGAGCCCAGCGATTCAGAAAATCCGGCACTGGCTTCTCACCATACACAGTCACGTGGACGTCATTGAAAATGGAAACCCGGGTGCCTTATCTGGGAGAGCACACTTGTGGGGATGGTAGGCCTGAGCTATGGGACTTTCTCCAGGTCCCTCTGTTTTCTGTTCGCGTAGGGGACTCGCAGTGTCGGATCGCAAAGTGCCAAAATATATATACATAGTGCACGAGAAATAAACAAAAAAACCTCTCCTTTTCTTCTTCAATATATTTTTTCCTGTAGGTGGGCTAACATAGTACTTGAAGTTCTCACCTTAAAAAGCTGAAGCCATACCACACAATGACAATATCTGAGAGTTGGTGATGATTTCGGGTCATGCATATTGTTTTTAACAGGGCAGATTTCCGTAAATAACTTGTAACCTTCTCTCCAGTACTGGGACGTGAAAGCATTCAGCAACGTGTGTTGGGCTCCTACTTTGCTGCAGGCACGGCTAGAAGCCTTACAGTGCTTGCCCTGGAAGCACTCAGTTTTTAAAAGCCAAGTCACATCTTCTCCCTTGATGGTCAACACTGTTATGGAGATTAAATTGATTGTCAGTGAGTGAATTTACCAGAGTGAATAGAAGTCACTATGATTCCCCAAAATGAATGCCTCCTTTTGAACAAGGGCTGTTTTGATTTTTTTTTTTTTTTTTTAATTTTGGCCTCCTGGGTCTAGCACTGCCACCCTCTCCAGATCCTCTCCTTCAACCAGTTCAGTTCAATGCATTTAAGTGTGACTGAAATTTAAGCATTGTACTTCCTATTTAAATTGATGAAATCTACCTGTTCTGTTGCCATCCCCTCACCACCCATTCTCTTTCTCTCTTCCTCTCTCTCTCTCTCTCTCTCTCTCTCTCTCTCTCTCTCTCTCACTGTCTGCTGTCTCTCTCTGTAGGTGTGGTTTGTGTCTGAGGCTGAGTCTCCTCATCTTTGTGTTTCTGAGGATGACTGTGTGTTTGTGTGCATGTGGGTTGCCATGGTGACAACAATCACGTGTATCTAGGGACCAAGGAAACTTTCCTATATACTTTTTTTTTTTTTTTTTGAGACAGAATCTCACTCTGTTGCCCAGGTTGGAGTGCAGCCGTGTGATCTTGGGTCACTACAACCTCCGTCTCCCAGGTTCAAGCGATTCTCCTGCCCCAGCCTCCTGAGTACTTGGGATTACAGGTGTCTGCCACCACACCCGCTAATTTTTGTATTTTAGTAGAGATGGGGTTCCACCATGTTAGCCAGGCTGGTCTTGAACTCCTGACCTCAAGTGATCCACCAGCCTCAGCTTCCCAAAGTGCTGGGATTACAGCACAGTCATCTCTCTGGTGTCTGATGATGTTGCTGACGATGAAAACTGTTGACTCAGGTTGCTGTCTCAATTCTTTGGGTTGACACAGTGTTTGAAGGCAAGAAGTGCTGTCTTTAGAATAACACAAAGTTGAAACTTTGATGGAAGCTGACATTGCTGACGTACTACCATATGGAACTTTAAACTCGCTTTCTAAAAAAGTTCACAACTAAAGTATTTCATGATTTCAGCAACTTTACCTATAAAGCCTCCTAAAAATTTAGTAGTTACAAATGTCAGAAGGAAGTTTTGGGTTGATATGGAATCAACCCAGCTCTAACAGGATAGATGTGGAAACAATAAGCCCAATGGGAAACTGAGACAGGGCAGCAGGAAGCACAAGACCTCCTTGCAAAAGAACTGGAAATGATGCAGCCACTTATCTGGTAGCCAGCCTTCAGAAAATTGCTTCCCATGGTCAGCTTGAGCAGTGGGAAGAGATTGGCAGAAAACCCTGGGTAGGAATGGGAGGTCAAGGTCTGCAGACAATAGCAGCTACAAATAGGTGATTTCAGAGTGAAAGTGACTGGCTGAAAGGGATGACGCTTTTAGGTGAGCTAACATAGTGCTTGAAGA